TACTTGCTGATAACGACGACTCTTTAAGAAGAGAGGTGTTTTGCAAAGTTTTGTCAGTTAATGGGTGAAAACTAATGATCATAGTAAGATACATTTGTTGCCTACAAAAGTAATATCACATCAATGAACTGATTTGGTCACTCTTTGAAATTTTATGACATCCAGAGCGTTTCAGCCTTGATTATCAAATGCCCTATGATTAAATTGTCCTGTTTCTAATCGATGGGGTTCACTACTATCTTACAAAGGCTTATGATGTATATATTCTTTATATATGAGTTGGCTCTGATTATCTTACATACACACTACCTGGGTTATGAAATAAACACAAACTTATTTTCAGATCAAACAAAAAAAAAATCTGATGATGCTGAGGTGTGAGATAACACCTCGATTTGAAGAGAAAACCCAATCGATTGCATACTTGAAATAAAAGATTCTATTGTTTGGGAAACAATAGATCAGATCTAATAATCTTTAACTGAGAAACCAAAGACAAGACAACAAAAGAGATCGAACCAAGAAATTTTAAGTTATATCTGAAAAGACAAAAGATTTCAATTTAATTTGAATCCAACATTTGATCAACAAGTTCATACGAGGTAGACACAACATTAATGATCAAACAGAGACCAGACACAAGATTAAGAATCAATCATTTCATCCACAGTTTTTTTAGCTTCAGCCCAACTCATTTTAAAGTTATCCATATACTCCTTGTAAAGACGTCCTCGCATTTGAATGTCTTCTAATTTCGCTTTCTTCTTCTGAGACTCTAGCTCCCGCTCGATTTTGTCTAATTCAAGAGTTTCTCTACGTCTCTTGAGAGTCTTTGTCTCATCTAAGTTTTTTTCTTTGAAATCCATTTCGGCTTGCTGAAATTCTAAAGTTTCCCTTTTGAATTTGAGATCATGAAGTAAACGTGTGTGTTCATCTTGTTCCGGGTTCAAAGACTTCGTAATTGCCTCTTTAAGTTTGCTAGAAGACTCCAATTCCGCCTTTCTTGCATTTTGCTCGGCCAACATGTAATCTTTTTTGAAACTCCACTTGGCTTCGCGCTCTTCTCGTGAAGGTAAGTGATTAGCTAACATAGAAGAAGCCGGGCCTGAATTCACACGTGATGATTTACTTGCAACTACACTTTGAGAATCCATTACTGAGCTTTTCCGAGGTTGAGAATGTCGAGTTTTCTGCACCGTTTGATCTTTAGATATTCCCACACGTTTTTGAGAGCTTTCATTAATGCTGCTGTCTTCATGATCACTTAAATTTTCGAATCGAGGAGTCTCAATACTTTCAAGCATCCGGTCAAAATCATCCTCGTTGGGATTACTAATGTTGTCATCTAGTTGGTTCTTTGAATTGGCTTTTCCTTGACTCGGTAATATATCATCGAGATCTATTGGTTGGTTAGACTCCTGTACATCGTCTGGTGAGTTGGCCTTTCTCCGTCCGAAAGCAGGGATCATCTCCTCAAAGTAAAGACATTTTTTTTTGACCATTGCTTGAATCATTAAACGTATGTTAGAAGAGTTTCTACTAGTGCTTAGAAACATGAGAACTTACACTCAAACTTCTCTTCAACCAGCGATACAAGCTCTTTCCATGCCTCACTATCAGATGTGTAACCATTTGCTTCCTTCTCAGCCAACGCATCATCCATAAGTTTCTGTTTTTCTCCTTGACCAGTGCCATTCTTGTAGTCTTGCGCCGTACGGAAATGCTTCTCAAGATCTCGAATCTGAAGAAACCAACAAAACCAACGTTAACAAACTCTGTATGTAAGCAAAAACACAAAAAACATAGATAAACATACCTGTTGCTCGACCTTTGTTGAACTGATATTTGAAAATCCGTTCTCAGCAAGGTATTTAGAGATGTCCTCAGCCACTTTCCCCTTCTTAATCATCCCACCTTCACCCCTCCACCAATCAAGACGGAACCCATCACCTTCTGGCATAGTGAGCCATTTGATCAAAAGAAAGAGGGCATTCTTGCCCTCCTTGTTGAAGTCAGTGCGCCACTGGACTCGACCACGGCCAGGGGAAGATGGCTGATTGTTCTTGTTCTTCGCTTTCGAATCCGTTTTTTTTCGGGTCTTTTTTGGAGTATGATCAGTTTGAGATGTTTGAGGAACTGAATCTTGAATTTGCAATGATTGATGGTACGACATCGTTGGCCAAATAGGATGATTGTTTAAAGCAGGAGAGAGATGAGCAGGAGAGAATTGCTGGTGGATCGTAGGAGAGAATTGCTGATGGATTGCCGGCGAGATATGTGGATTGATACTAGGCGAGACAAAGGTGTAAGAGTACTCTCCAAGTGGAGGAGCTTGCCCTGCAATCGAAGGGTCTGAAGGAGTCCTGGAAATTGAATTGGTTCGAGATGCAGGCATATGAGCCATGTGAAAGATTTGTGGCTATAAGAAGGTGAACTTTGAAGTATGAAAGATACAGGAGTACAGGTGTGTGGTGTGCACAAAGTTTCCAAATTAAATGTGACATCCAGAAACATCTTGGAGATGTCCCAGAAGTTTCTGGATGTCGGTTCTTGACACTTCTGGGACCCAAAACACGAGTTTTGAATACCCCTAATGAGCAGCTTGTATCTCGACTGTCGAGGTGCTAATTATAAATATGATGATGATGATGAAGAGATGAGATGATGAGAAGTGTTTGAAAGAGTAGTTAAGTGAGGTTTAATTTCAAAATTAGGGTTTTAATTTAATAGTTTTGTAGTTTAACTTGTAAAATCATTATCAGAATCAGAATCAGAAGAAGTGAAGTCAACATTTTATGATTTCATATCAAATCAAATCAAATCCAGAAGAAAGCCATGAACTTCAACTTAGATTGGGATGAACCTGATATTTGGTCAACTGAACCATCATCTTCTATTCAAATCAACACATCAAGAACAGAACATCAAAACCCACCTGAACCATCTTCACCAACTAATCAATCAGATTCATCTGATACTACTACCATTCATCATCATCAAATCAATCTATCAACACCTAATCCTACTTTAACCAATTCAAATTCAAATTCAAATTCAAATTCAAATTCAAATCATTCTCAACAACCCAATCTATCAATCTCAACTGATTCAATACCTAAACCATTCATCAACTTAGATTCTGATCATCAATCTTCTCCAAACAGTCCTTCTATCCTATTCTCTTCTCCTTCAGATGCTTCATCAACTCAATCTATGTTCTCAGCTACAGCTGATCAAGCTCAATCACAATCAAACAATCTCAATAATAGTACAATAGATGATGATGATTTTGGTGATTTTGATGATGGTGATGAATTAGGACAAGGATTAGGAACAGATGAGTTTGGTGATTTCGATACATTTCCAAGTTTATCACCTATACCAAGATTTCAAACCAAACCGAACATCATACCATTCAAATTACCTAAACTTATGAATTTCGAAACCCTAAAACAATCACTCACACCTGCGATCGATAGTCTTTTTACACAAATCGATTCATCAGTTTGGCTAACCGATGATGTTATCAAAAATTCAGATCATCCACCAATCGAAAAAAATTTGTCAATTCCTTTGGTTTTGAAATCTTCTGATCTACTTAGGTCTGCTTGGAATGAATTGATTGAAAATCAAAACCGACTTGGGATTCCAATTGATTGGAAAAGAAGTCAGATCCGTCGTCATTTTTTAGTCACACTGGGGATTCCAGTCGATTTAAATGATGTAAGAATCTTGATCTGATCATTCAATTTTCCACTAAAACATTTTTCACTTCTTACGATTGATTTCTTTTTCTTCTTCTTCTTTGGATTTAGTTCTTGACACCGGCAGATCTTCCTCAACAAACACTTTCAGTTCATACAGATTCAGTTTCATCAAGTCTTTTACATCCATATAATTCAAAACTTATCAAACCATCAATCAAGAGTCCAACTCCAACCATCTCAATAGATCGAAAAAGATGTGATGAACTATTATCGTTGAAAAATGGTTAGATTCCAATTCAATCCAAATGATTTCGATTCTTTTTTTTTTCTGATGGGTTTTTTGGTTGATTTGAATTATAGACGATTTACAAAGTCAAAGTGATGAAGATCTAATTAAGATTAGAGACGAGTTAAAGAACATGAACACAACGATCTCAGATCTTCTATCCCAAACACTTACCAAACGTGACAAATTAAACCAAGATAGTGATTCATATAATAAGATGATCTCAGTTGAGTGATGTTCCAAAACCTAGACCAAGCTCACCAAACCTTGCACGATTTCTGATCTCTTTTTGGGGTATGGAAATCGAAATAGGATCTCATCACAGCTGCACAAAGGATCAAGATGGGATCACCTAATGTGAACAAAAGATCATCGTCTATCCAACTAGGATCTTCTTCAATCACTTCTACCGCTCAGATCTCTTCTACTCATCCAGCTGGGTCTTCTAGATGGTTTGGAACGACGACTAGATCGGTGACGCCTACTAATCATCATCAGAATGTGACTTCTAAATCTGTTGAAATTAATTCTAAACGATCTTCTGTACTTTGAAACTTCTTACCTTCCAAAAGAAATTTAATTGGGTTCTGCTTTTTTTTTAAAAAAAAATCAATTGGGTTCTTTTTTTTTTAAGAAAAATGTTTAATTGGGTTCTGATTTTTTTTTTCTTCGATCTTGTGTTTTGATTGGTTTGGTGTTTTTTTATATATGTTTTATTAGATTTCATGATAGATTGAAGGGTTGTTGATATTTACAAAACCAAAATGGCAAGATAGATAATAAAAAAACATTGGATATATAGAAAACTTTATATAGTATAGGAATTGAGATTACTAAATATAAAGAAATCAAGTTTGATGATGATCAGATTTTTTCTTATGTAAGTTTGATTAAGGTTTTTTTTGTCTTGATTATAAGACTTTGAGGTTTGAAACTTTTGGTTGGGTTAAATTCGAATTAAAAGGGTTGAATCATTAAAGTTGTCTAACTTGTCCAAAACCGCTTTACTGTTGTTTTCGAAAAGCTTGTCCAAGTTTGCCCGCAAGACTCGAGCAGCATGGCGGGAAAACTCGGACAAGCATTTTGAGAACGACAGTAACTCCTTGAAAGAAAAACCATGGTACTTACTTACCAAAAACTTTATAACAAGCACTCCTTTGAGTTTATCAATTTCAAAACTCAGATGAGATGTTCTTTATATGTACATAGCTATGTATAGATATGCAATTGAAACTACCTATTTTTCTGTGTGGATTGTGGTGTGAGTTGTCAATGTCACAACGTATGGGAAATTTCTGTGGTTTTTTTTGAAACCTTGGAAGTGTGTCCACTGTCAAGGAGTTTTTTTTTTTGATGGTGAATGGAAAATCAATTCTATGTACTGTCGTTCTTGAAAAGCTTGTCCAAGTTTTCCCGCCAAATTGCTCGAGTTATGCGGGAAAACTCGAACAAGCTTTTCAAGAACGACAGTAATTTCTCAGTATGATTATTACACTTTATATTGTGAACTCTTGAAGTGACGGTTTGTACTCAAAAGATATGCAGTGTATCATTAACCTTGAACAAAGCCCGTTCACCGTTCATGAGCGCGTTTTGCTGCGTCCTTGACCGGGCAACGTGATTGTGAGAGGATTTGTTAAGCATATGTGTGTGTGTTTCTGGATATATGTCAAAGTTTGAAGATATGAAATATTCAAACTATTTGAAAAGTGTTCAAAGTGTAAATTCCTTTACAAAAGAAATAGACGAGGGGTGACATTTACTTCCTGGAATATATCTGTAACTCCTGGCTCCTGGCTCTGAATGTGATCAATTATGTAGATGGCTTTGAGATTGAATGATAAAAATTCATAAACTCCTTCTTTGAATCTTTGAAAGAAATTCTAAAAAATAAAACTAAATCCTTTTTATACTTGAACGTCAAGAGGATGGAAAGAAACAACAGTGAAAAGTAAAAAGAATAGAAGTTTGAAGTTTCTGGAGACATTTTATTTTGATAGGTATAATACGCAGTTCTTTAAAAAATGAAGAAAATCTCATGTCAAAGATTCCTTGTGTATTTGTTTATTTGTCAAGATGTGTGAAGTGTGTGTGTAGATACAGTCAAACCTGTGCAATTGCATAATTTGGGTGGAAGACTTTTCCTATGCATTTTCACGGGTTATGCAATTCCATTGTCTAGTTTGGCGGTAAAAAGTATCAAGATCTAGGAATTTTTCTATGCATTGTCACAGGTTATGCATCTGCGCAGGTATGCATTTGCACAGGTTTGACTGTACATAGGTGTCTTGATCCGGACAAGATGGTGGACGGAGTCACTGCATACTAAAATACGGCAAGGCGCTGGATAGGACGGAGATTGTTGAACGCAGGATGGACGGGAATTAGAGAGTGGACGGAGGATAGGTAGGATGAATGATGATATGATTGATACCGAGTCTTCTTTGAGGGAGTGGCTTTGTTTGTTTGTTTGTTTTGTTTGTCTAATTCCGGTGATAAATTAGGTAGCTTAAGATTGGTTAAGTATGACTTAAGCTTAAATGATTTTGATAAGATTGAAAGTGTGATAGGCTGTGATGGGTGTTATGTAGTGTTCCTGATTGAATTGATTAGATTAGATAATCTCTTTAATCTCTTCACTTGATCAGAATCAGTTGATTAACGAGTTTACCATTAAACCAATTCCACTTCCACTTCCAATCCAACCCTCAACTTCTTATCATCTTCTCTTCTTGACTTCAACAAACATGGAACTTCCTCAACCTTTACCTCCTATTCTCATCACCGTCTATGCTATTCATGACTTGTAAGTTCTTCTTCTCTTCTCTCATATACACTCTCTCATTCACTAACCCTCTGCTCATCTTCTTTCAGTCAAGCAGAAAATCCTGATGAACTCTCATTCTCAGCTGGTGAACCAATCGATGTCACTGAGAAAGATGATCAGTATGGTGATGGTTGGTGGCAGGTTAGCTCTTACTTTCACTTTCACTCTTCTTCTTGATATCTTTCAATATCCAACTAATCCTGTTTCATCCTTCTTAGGGTCGCAATACCAAGGGTGCATATGGCTTGTTTCCACAAGCTTATACATCTCCTCAACCTACTTTACCTATCAATTCAGATGGTCAACCTACTATGAATGAAACTCTCTTTGATGTTCAAAAGGCAATCGATTCAATACATCATCCACCTTCTTCTACCGTCTCATTAACCAATGGGATCCCTTCTTCACTTCTAACTGAACATCCTAGCTCAACTCATCTCAATCCTGAACATTCAGATGATGATGATGATCGTACTCGATCAGAGCATCATCTCACCTGGGATGCTCATAACGGTGGCGCTGCTAAAGCCAGAACTGCATTGGCTGAAAAAGCAAGGGCTGATGCTCTCGCTCATCAATCCGTCATGGATCGATTGAAATCAGCTTCAAATACGCTTTACTCTCATCCTGGCTCAGCTTCTAGCTCGCGTATCAGTATACCTGAACTAAACGAAATCGACCTATCAGAAGAGAGTGGAGATGATGAAGACGATCGGATGGGTTACGCTTTACGTGCTCAACATCAGTTCCAAGGCCCTAGTCGTTCAAAGAATCAAAACGATCATGGTGATCCTTCTCAGTCCTCAAGTCTTCCTGGTACACCTGATCCTCGGGATAAGCTAGTCGTAGCTACGCAAAAATTGGGCCTCGATGGCGACCATGAATCCTCTCGTTTCGCTTCCGGCCCTTTCTCAGCTGCAGCCATCGCTTTGGGATTAGCACACTCTCCAGTGACCTCCTCTAAATCAACCTCCTCGCCAAATCACGCTCGGAATCATTCTGTGCCTTATCACACTCACAAACCCGGCCAATTGTCTTCGTCAAGCGTTCTTAGTGATCTCAGCGCTGGTGCACGTGCCGCGATCAGTGCGGCATCCCCTCCGATTGCATCGACCCTTCGAATGAGTAGAGAATTTTCTCAGCTGACCTACCAAGTCCCATCAACCGATCGAATCAATTCGGACTCTCCAATACTCTCTAATCATGACTCAGCCACTTCACAAAGCCGATCTCCTGCAAGTCAAGACAAGACACCCACCCCCGTCTTCACTTCCACCTTTCCAGATCCACAACCACCTCCCACATCTGCCCCTCTCGCCTCGCCTGGCTCTACTCAAGAATATCTAAAGAGTCCAACAGGTCTCATGCCAGGTTCTTCTGACCCTGTCGAGCATTCTCACGGCCGCCAACGATCTGCCAGCAGTGTAGGCAGCGGTATCTTCTTTCGTCAGCAAGCTTCATCTCCTCTTCGGCCTCATTCGCCGGCTAACTCAGCTGCCCCTATCACCTCGACCAATATCAATACTTCCAACTCAACAGCTGATTCGTCCTCAGTCCAAGGATCTAGATCACGATCAAGCAGTAGACTGGCTGCTATTGAAGACCAACTCGCCAGTCCCGCTACCAGTACTTTTCCGTCTGTTACAGGTAAACATCAAATTGGTGCCGAGTCTTTCTCTTCGATTGTGAATGGAACAGGCGTGAAATCTACTTTTATGGACCCAAGAGAGTGGACAGTGACTAATGTGATGGAATGGGGTAAGACAAAAGGTCTAGATGAAGTTACAATCTCAAAGTTTTCGGAACATGAAATTACTGGTGATGTGTTATTAGAATTGGATATGAACTCCTTGAAGGAGATTGATCTCGTCGCCTTTGGTAGAAGGGTGAAGGTCACAAAGGCTATTGAAGAATTACGAAAGGCACTTCAAGCATCCCAACAGGGAATCTCTTCTTCGTCACCCAATCCCGATTCAATCAAATCATCATCTCCACAGTTCGACGCTGTACAAGGTGTCCAAAACACGCGTTCAAATTCGTACACTCATCGTCGATCAGAATCTACTTCAGAATCTACTCGACCAGGCAGGGGGTTCGTTACGCCTGATATGGCTGATCCCATGTCCCCTGTTCCCAATCAAAGGGTCATGATTTCCTCCAATCTTGAAGATATCGTTGATCATGAATATGAGTCGGCCAAGCCTCTTTCAGTCAGATCCGGGCCGCAACATTCACTGCCAGGCATTCTAACCGATCTCAAGAAACCCGCCGCGATTTCATTCTCTGGCCTCAATCATAGACCAGAAGCTGACGTGGACACTAGTTTGACCGGTGATTCTCCTCCAAATTGGCAACATACTAGACAACGGGTAACGTCACCTCTCTAAGTATAGAATGCAAAGTGAATGATCAGAAGCCTAACGTGACATTTTGCCATCTGACTCTAGGATGTTGCTCCTGGTAGCATTGAGTATCCTCGAAGACCACATTCTGCTCACTTTTATAGAGAGGCAGAAGACGCCGGTCTCTCGCCTGATAAACTAGCCGAAAAGGCTGAATTACATGATAATTTCAACCCTACACCGTTGGTCCTACATGAGGTAATTTATATATATATTATCACTGACCATATGTTAGGTTGTCATAACTAACTCTTTGCTCCACTATCAGGAGAGTGCTAATACGAAAAAGTCGAGGAAGAATCTAGCCAAACAAGCCAAACAACAGCGACCTGGTACAGCTAATTCGATCTTGAGTAAAAAGCCGTTCTCGATTGGTGAGACATCGACCGACCCGCCCTCTAGTCCTGAGCGCTCTTCTTCTGGACGACCTAGCGGTGAAGGTAAATCGAGGAGCAGCTTCTTAGGCAATCTACGAGGACGTAAACCACCACCTCAATTGACCACCTCCGGATCACCATCCCATCCTTCTCCGTATGTTTCCCTGTGCCGCATGATCATGTCAAACTGCCTTCTAATTGAGTCTGTTGTTCCTCAGGCCCCAGAAACTCGCCTCACCCGTCTCGGCGACAAGTCATCCGGACGGTGTTGGGAATAAATCAAGAGGAATCTTCAACTTTGGTCATCATCATCAACAAGCACAACAGATTCAACATCTTACACCGATCTTACAAGATTCAAATTCCAAAGAATCCTTACCCAAATTCTCTGCTGATGATAAACGTAATGGTAATACTAAGACTGCAGCAGAGAGGATAGGTACACCTGATCATATTGGTTGGATGAGGAAGAAAGGAGAAAAGTATCCTACCTGGAAAATGAGATATTTCATACTGAAAAATTCTAACCTGTACTATCTTAAATCTGAGAACGTAAGTTTATTTTGATTTGAGTACTTTGAGTTTTGGATAAGCGTCTGAACTTTCAATTTGCAAAAACAGGAGGTCAGGATTAAAGGATTGATTAAATTAGGTGGTTACAAAGTCGTGATGGATGATGATGTGAATCCGGGTCGATATGGATTTAAAATTATTCATGATGACGGATCGAGTCATGCTTTTAGTGCTGATGATTCAAAATTGTTACGTGATTGGATGAAGGCCATGATGAAGGCTACCATCGATAGGGACTGGCTTGGTGAGCTTTCTCTCTAGAAAACTGATCAGAAGGATTGCTGTTGATCGAAAATGCATTCTTTCTATGATGTAGCACCGGTGATCTCTTCATGTAACATTCCTACTATGCCAATTTCCGAAGCCCAAAAGATGTTTCCACCTCCAAGACCGCCATCGCCTGCATCTAGAGCTCGAGCTCAGAAAGCTAGATTAGCGGCCAATCCTGAGATATTAAATACCAAAGATCCTGCAATGTTGATGAACTTGCAACGACTTCAACAGCAGCCACAACAGCCACAACAGCCACAACAGCCACAACAACAACGACCCATCAGTCCACCCGAGTCACTTCGACCCAAGAGGAGTATTCATAGGAAAAAGCCTAATCTTGCAGGTTTGAGTTCACCACCAGGTAGTTTGACTTCTTTTTATTTCCTTCCTCTTCTGTTATATCAGTGACTGACATCACTTGGGGAATGGGTTCAAGAACCAGCATTATTCAAACCGACCGTTGCAGATCAAACATTGATGAATTGGATCAATACAACCTTGAGTCGATCATCCATTACTAATCAAAGGATTCAAGATTTCTCTGGATCACTTCGATCGGGATTAGTGATTGTGAGATTGATTGAAAGTTTAACGGATGTACCGAGTGGAATTGATTTTGATCATTATACGGGTGGTGATCGAATGGATCTTTATTTTGGAGTGTTTGATTATTTAAATTCACAAAGGATTCCGTATGTGGTTTTTCTTGTTTGACGTTTTGGGGGATATGTAGAAGAGACAGATGAATTGATTTTTCTTAATTGCCTTAATAGGCTTGATGGGTATGCTTTGAATGATATGATATCTGGTGATCCAGTGAAGAATAGAGTGAGTGTTTCTTTCTCTTGTCTATATACTTTTTATGACAGAAAAGAAATGTATGGTGGGGGTTTCTTAATGATGAACTTTTTGATTTTTGTTTTTTAGGAATTCTTGAGTAGAATTTACACCAAGTTTAATAGAAGTCGACCTGCTTTTGTGACTGCTGCTTTATGAGATGATATTGAATTTGAATGAAGAAAAAAAAAGTGAGAAAGAAGAGTTTAGAAGAGAGAAAAGAAGAACAAACTTGATCGTTTCCTTTTGGGTTTGAAAAAAACATTAAATCTTATTATATTTAGCTGTTTTTTTTGTTTCTATTTAGTATATTATTCGATTCTGTTCTCTTACATATATATATATATACACTTATATATAATCATTATTATTATTTTTCTGAACACTTTTTATATCTTAATTTTTCTTTTTCCGTACCTCCTATGTCTTTCCTTTTTCTTCAATGTTGTGTACTTAATCTTTCGTTTCTTTTGAAAAATCCCTTTCTCTTATTTTGTAACATTTGTGATATGTTTGATCTTTAAGATGTGTGTGTGTGTGTGGTAAGTGAGTGTGTGGTACCCTTGAATGTAGTGGGTTTGGATTTCTGTGTGTTTTGTGTTAAAACTTAGAAACAAGACATCAATCGAAAAAAAAATGAAACGCGTAGGACAATTTATATGTTATTCTGAGTTATTTTTTCTTTTCTTTTTTACAATGTTTATCTTTTTTTCTCTATTCAGACAGATATACAAGAACCAAGTTAGCAATTTAAGTGAATTTTAATGGTTTCTTTAATGAAATAAATATTAAATTTTTTGAAAGGAGAAATGGTCTTGATTTGGTTTTTTTTCTTTAAAGACTTTGAGGGTTTCAAAGAATTGAACAGGTTTCAAGTAAGAGAAAAAGATGATGAAGTAAAGAAGTTTAAAGGAAGATGAAAATAAAACGAGTTCAAGTATGTAGTGAACAAAAAACTGAAAGGATTTTGAAATAGGATTTTAAGTGGTTCACATTTAAATCAAGACCAAACCAAAAAAAAACAGATAAACAGATCAAAAATGGAAAACAAAAAAGAAAACAAAAAATCAATTGAGATAAGAAAGAAAAAGTGTGTAGAATTACAAGAAAAGAAATTGTAAAAGAAAGAAAGAAGATTTAATGAAAAATGAATCCATGGGTTTTCTTAAAGTACGATTTCTTCTTCGAAATCAAACTGATCTAAACCATCATAATATTTAACTCTTAATTCACGACTGGTTTCAAAAACCTAATCCAAAAGAAAAAAAAAGTAAGTTTAAGTGTTCATGAATCATACATATAAAGTTTTGTTTACCTGATTTGATTTCTTGGCTTGGTTTAATCTTTTGACTTGGGTTTGATTGATCATTGGTTTTGGTTTTGGTAGTTTTTTTAATTGATTGGATTTCAGAAATGGTTTTTTAGGTGAAGGTGAAGAATGAACTTCAGCTTGAGTTCGTTTGTTAGGTAATCTGTTGGGATCTAAACGTTGGAGTTTCTTAGGTGATGGTTTATGATTCGAAGAATTCAAACTGTTTGATCGTGTATTAGTATCAAGTTCATGAATGGGTTCGTGTGTAGGGATAGGTTGAGGGCTTACCTTTCTGCTTGACTGTCTTTGTCTGTTGGTCTTTTTGAAGATGGACTGATGATTCTGGGGATTTTTTTGGATCGACCTCGACGTAAAGGTGGATCATCTACCTCGTTTTCATCTGATTGGGTTCCTAAATGTTTCTGATGATCAAAAAAAAGAATTTCAGATTTGGTTTTCAAAGACTAAAGTTGTGGAAAAACCAAAAGAATTGGATTACCTGATCACGAGGATCTGCTGCTTTTTTGATCACTCGATGGTTTGGTTTTCCTTTTTGATTTTTGTTAGGTCTTTTAATGGACAACAAATCAGTTAAAGATAAATCCGAATCCATGGAAAGATGTACATGATTCTTCAGATGAGATTTGTGATTAACAGAAGGTCCTGCTGTTCCTAATGGTACGGTAGATTTGAGTTTTGATGGGTTAGGTTGAGTTCTTTCTAATTCTCCTTTAGATCTTAAAAGTTTTAAACGTTTTTCGTTTTGTTGAAATCCAAATGGATCATTTAATTCTTGATGGATTTGTTGATATCTTTGACTTGAGATTGGGAATCCATCTTGGTCTAGGATGATAGAAGTTCTTTCGGAATTCGAATTCGAATTCAAAGATTTGATTCGGTTTCGTTTGAGTGTGGAAACTGAACGGTTGGGTGAATCTTGGGTTAGATTTAGGTTAGGTAATTCATTGAGTTTCGGGAGTGATAGATGGTGAGGTGGGGTAGGGGTTGGATTGTAGGTAATTGGGTCTATGTATTCTAGACTTGATTCCGTATGTGATGGTGGGACATTAGGATTTGGGATCGGTTTTGATAATGCTTTGGTCATGACTTTTTTAATACTTGGATCCACTTGTGAGGATAAACTAAAAGATTTGTTATCATTGATTTCTATAGCTTTAGATGTACTTTGAAGAGGCTGATTTGATGGTAAATTATAATTAGACTTGGAAAAAGTGACCAGTTCGATTGAAGGTGAAGAAGTGAAATTTGAAATTGAATCATTGGTTAAACCGAGTGAAGTATGAGAATGTTTGATTTCTTGATTATGATTAGGATCTAACAAGTTTTCGATTTCGATTTCTTTAAGCCATTTTTGAAGTAAGTTTGTAGAACTTTTGGAATAGGTTTGTAAATTGATTGAGTTTAATGAAATTGTGGGATCTGAAATCGGATCTGTTGAAGTTCTTTGGATTTCATGATAGGCTGGGATTACTACGATTGGTACATATGATTCATCTCTTTCTCCAAGAGGTTTTCTAGCACGTTTTGAAACTTCTACTACATGATCTGAGTCTGATTTGAGTTTATCATTGGTTGGTTTGATGATGGGTTTAAATGAGGTTTCGAAAGCTTTTGAACGTGTTTGACGAGATATAAAGTCAGCATCTATCTTTCCAATCTTGGGTAATTCGTATAAAGTCTTTTCGAGTGTTTTACGAATTGGTTTGTTTTCAGATTCAAGTGGATTGGATTGTTTTTCTTTATGTGTTTTGAATGGTGGAATGATTACCACAGGTTTTGATCGAATTGATTTGATTTGATTGATGTTTTTTGATTTGATTTGTTGATTGGTTGGTTTTGATTTAGTTTTGATAGTCATGATGAATGAATGAATGCAACTTTGATGAAAGGTTTAGATGATTTCCTTTTTAAGTAACAGTCTCTCACTCTGAGAGAAACTAAAGGGTGGTGGGTGTTTCACTTCGGGTACACCACGGGGCGCTTTTTGATTGAAGGATCGTCGCCGCGGGTCCCAGATGGTCAGCAGGCATAGCAGGCATTGCCCAAACTCAATCAAGTCCCTCGAGAGCTGTACTGGCCAGCTCAAACAAGGCTAACCCCTCATCCATCTGGCACACCCCTGAGGTTCTGTTCTACCACTCTTCTTATGTTCATCCTTGCACCTGCTAGTGTCAACAATGTTGTCCAATGATCAACCTTACCCTTGTAAGACATCATCTCACCTGCTTCCATCTTTTCACAACTGACTAACCATATTTTATTCATACTTAAAGTATGGGATGATACTAAATCCATCCCAGTGCTTGCAACTCTAACTGCCTGGAATTGATCTGTATTTATCCTCTATCCTGCATGACTTGATATTGCAGTTGGACACTTGAAATTTCATTGATTTCAGCTTGCAAACACCCACTCTTATTTTGGTCAATTTGATACAGATCATGCTGATTCACAATAAATCTCTTGATTTCTTGAAGACAAAGTTTTGATTGATAGTGTCTCAATGCTCATCAGAGAACTTGGTAAGCAAAGCATAGTGTGTATGTGAGAAATGGTGTGTGTATATTAGTGAGGATGACTCTCCAAAGTGGAAAAATATTGCCTCAAAGGGTTGTACTTGAAATGCTTTCATTTGAATTGCTTCAAAGTGCCATAAAAAGACTACTCAAGATGTCAGTTGTTTTCCCTCTTGATGACAGAGCTCCCCTGATTTTGAGTTGAAGGTTCACTTTTGCCATGTACATCAGCTTAAACAACACCAGAAACACTTCAAAACATGGCAAAATATGGTCTGTTCCCATAGTGTTGTGCAGCATGTGCACCAAGAAGAGCGCAACTGCTCTGCTATTGGGTCAAAAAAATCACAACGTTTCACAGCGGAGAGACTGCTAAGAACCCACTACACAGTGCACTACAAGGGATGGCGGGGGTGAAGCCAATTGAAAATAAAATTTGTTTAAAATCTAAGTGGACCTGCCCAAGCCAGTGGGGTTGGATCAAGGTAGGAGAGTAGCTTGGTAAGAATGTCTTTGAGTCTTGTAATGAGGTACCTGATAAATGTGCCTCTGGTTAATATAAGGTGATTGGTAACCATGCCAACTTGAAAGCTGGTGTGATTCCAGTTTTTCTTAAACTGGATTCCTTCCACAGATATACAGCTCTGTACATCAGTATATCAGATGTACAGAGCTGTACTAATCTTAAATCATTCAGTTCCTTTCTGAAGCTGGTATCTGAGTTATTTCTGAAGCTGGTTTTTCTTTTTTAATTCTATTGTTCAACAAAGTTGTTTTGTAATGGGAAAACTAGGAGACATCATCCAGACGGATTATTGATTTCCTAACCTTCAAGAAATGAAATCCAATATATCCTCTGACAGTAAAAATAATCTTGTGTTCCAAACTTTTACAAAGATGGCTTACAAAGATGGCTCACATAGCTGGACTGTAAAATCCAGCGCTCAATTCTTCTCATGGCCATTAGCAATAAGTTGCAGAAAGTAGAGACATGTGAACCTTGGTAGAAGTACAGGTTTAAGGGATCATGTTGTGAGATGGTCAGAACAAAAACCAGCCCTTGGTAGAGAACATGTTCTCTGTTTCACATCAAAGTCATCAAGCCTGAATATGACCTTTGCCAAAGATTATGTCACAACCTTTGTGAGTTCATAATCACACTCTGAGCGCTGCCTGTTTCTCTGTTTGATCTCTACACATTTTTGTATTTTATTGACTTTTGCCTTTCTTTCTGAAGCAGAATTCCTATGTGATCAAGACCAGCAATTGTAGTATGATAATGTCACACTCTTTGTCAAGGACTTTTTCATGAGGAAACCAATCAACTGATTGAGCCCATGATTGTTTGCCAACATATTGGCAAGTTGGTCAAGCAGCTTTGTAGAACATTCAAATCAAAACCCGGCTTCAGAAAGGACTTGAAGCTACTTGAATGATTTTGGATTATGTACTGATGTACGGAGCTGTATATCTTTGGAAGTAACCCAGTACGAGAAAAACCGGTGTCAAACCAGATTTTGAGTCAGTGTGGTTTATCAATTGCCTAATGTAATCTACAACAAGACCCTTCTCTCAAGGAAATAACACTAACCTGATAAATGTTCCCCTGGTTAATATAATCTATGACAAGATCCTTCTCTCAAGGACATAACACTAACCTATAAAAAGAAAAAAGTAACAACATCACACACACATACTAATAAGTCAATTTAAGTCATTCAGAAAAGACAAGGTTAGATACCTATTATAAGTTTAAGATAGTTAGGTAAGCACACGATAGTGCGAGTCAAGCTGATCTGAGTGAAAGATTGAACTATTACATGAAACTTGGTCAGATAGATTGAAAAATTGGAGAAGAAACAAATCTGTGATCTATGTACATTCTCTTTTCCAAAGATGGGGAAAAGAGAACTAATGCAACAACACTTGCTAACATATAAGGAAAAATTGAAACTCATAAACTACTGAACACCTGATACTAATTCTTTATCATCTCTACAATGCAAACTCTCTTCATCTTTATTCTCAACTAATTTAGCTTAGTCCTCTGAACTCTCTTCATCTTTATTCACAACTACTTTAACTTAATCCTGCTTGGTAATGCCTGGGGCCGGCACCGGGACCAGGCCGGGATCAGGCTTTTTTGGCTCTCTAAAATAGCTCTGATAGCCCGAAGCGCTGTGCTCTCGGCCCACGGACCCGACCCGCCCAGCGGGTCTGAAGCGATAGGAGGTGGTGGCTGTTGGGCTCAGCAGATGAGATGACAGCACACATAGATATACATGTATTACTTTGAGGTGTGATGGACTTCTAAATACTGTAGATTTTTGATTGACAAGGTATAACAACTACAATTTGATAACTTTGTCAAAACTCTTGAGGCATACTAATGCTTCAAGAGTGGGTGTAGTCATTGAGCTACGGAGGTGGGTGATGGTCCTACCAGCCGCAGAGAACCCACACTTGGAAAGGGCGCTGGTGGCTGGGATGGCTAGGAAGATCTGAGCCATGTTCCCAAGGATGGGGAAGTGGTGACCATCTTTTTGCCAAAAGAGAAGTGGGTCACGACTTCCATCTGCTTGCTTTGTTGAAAGGTAAGTTTGAAGCTTGGCTTCAATACATTGAGCTTTCTTTTTAGTGACAAACAATCAGGGACCATCTTTGAATGGTACTGCTAGTTCTTCATCAACCTGAGGAGCGTCTTTATGAAAAGTTTCACACTCTTTAGGAAAGAGAGTCTTCCAACCTTCTCAATGATAGATTCCAGCACACTCTGGAGTTGCATTGGTCAGCTCTTGATCCTTGCTACGCAGATCGAGGAGTAAGGCACAAAGATATACAGGTTTTTTGAGGACCTTGTTGTAATAGAATTTGGCCTTGACTTTCATTCGTTCAATAGCTTGGCGAAGCTCTTGAGCATCATAGTTACACCAGCTCTATGAAAGTGGGAATAAAATTGATAAGATGAGGATTGATGCAAAGTGGATTGATTTAAAAAAGGACCCACCAAGTTCAATTTTTTGATGATCCATTCATATACTGGTATCACATCTCCCATGCTTGGGTATTTACTTGCTGACAGATCCTTTGTGGCTTGCTCAAAAGGCTCAAGGAAATCAATAAGGTGGCCAATGAGCTTCCACTCATCATCCGACAAGGTGTACTGCTTGTAATCTGGATTGTTTTGGCACTTCGTGTCAATAGATACACGTAATTTGAACGCTTGATGATAACATTCTAGGTCCAAGTTCCATTGTGTGTCAACATTGTGGATGAGGTTGAGTGGATAGCCTAAGTCAGCCTTGACTTGCTTGAGGAAAGATTGTAAGTGTTGATGTGATTTGTAAATCCACGCAATCAGTTTCAAAAGACGGGTGAGGACTGAGTGGACATTGGATGGTTTCATTGGTTCCAGAAGGATAGCAAGGTCACGTGGGATTGGTCCTTCTTTGCCAAGCTTTCTAGAAAAAGTCTTGAGTCCATCTCAAGCGATAAGGTTGATGACCTGTGCAACACATTCAAGAAGATTTTCTTCCCGTTTGAAGTTTGGGCAGACTGTTTCAAGAGCATAAGCCATGGTACCATTTGAGCTTGCATTATCAGCAACGACACAATACACTTTATTGAGCAGGTTGTAATCTTCAAGAATTGGAATGCGGGGTTCTGTGAGGTTGGTACCAGTATGGTTGCCATTGATCTCTTTGAGGGATAATATCAATTCCTGCAATCCAAATCTTTCATCAATCCAGTGGGCTGTGACACCAAGGATAGATTTTTGGTTTGTCAATGTCCAAGCATCGCATGTGATGCTGATGGCTAGTTGGTCTTCAAATACGCTTTTCATTACAACTTTCATTTTGACAAATTTCTTTCTCACTGCATCACCAAGAGCGCTGGAGCTGACAAGGAAAGGTGTGATATCAGGATTACACATCTCAAGCAAGGTTTGGAGGTGTGGAGAATCAACAAATGCAAATGGGAGCTCTTTCATGATAGTTAGACGGAGGAGTTGTTGCTTGAAGTTTTCACGGGTAAGCTTGGGAACCTAAAAAGGAGACATTCAGTACAAAAAAACAAAGAGTAAATGTGAAACAATGTCTCACTGTCTTGAGTTTGCCATTGGACAAGTAGTTCCTCATGGAACCACTTTCAGTAACAGTTTCTTTGTGTATTTGATGACAACGGTTCAGGTTGTGGATCATCAATCTTGTGCTTGCAGAGCAATCAATAGTCATTTCTGTTCCGCAGATTTTATTGCCTCCATTCGGATGCGCTTGACAAATGTTCTTCATTGAGTTTGTCTTGTCATGAAACTTGGTCTTGAAGTGTCTCCAGACCCATG